GTAATTAAGTTCATTTTATTAACGGATGGTGACTGAAAGTCGTCAGGTTCCTCACAATATGGCTTCACTCCAAAATTATTCGACATAAGGATGATTAATGGTTAAATAAATTTTTAACTATCTCAGCCAAGTCGTTTGAATTCCAAAATTGACTCCTTAAATGTTTCTGACAAAAAGCACTTCTCGGTTAACAAAAAAAACAAGCCTTGCATTTCGCTGGTTGCTTTTGTGAACTGATATTAACCGTTATTGTGCTATCAACGTATGCAGACGAAGTTGCTGATTTCCAACTCATCGTTACGTAAGTGGACAGCTGGTTGAAAAGTTTCTATGTTGTTTTGTTAGGTCCTTGCCGAGTTTTTCCCTGTTTCCGTGGGTAGATGTGAAAACACTTGCATACCAGAATATAATTTTTCACTGAGCTCTAAATGAAACATTTCCGGCCGTCAAAGGCATGATTTATTGTTCGTAAAGAATATTCACACTTCGCTGAATACGCCCTTTTGTAAATAAATTAGTAAGGGAACAAGAGTATGGAAAGTTGGTCGAATACAAGAGCGAAATACGAATGAAGGAAGGAAGGAAGATTCAGTATATGTTGGTGTACATACCGAGGTAAAGAATTTGGTCGCAAGAACATGCCTTATAGAACATTTACATCTAAAGGATAAAATAACAAACAACTTGGTTATAGTCGCGCGATTTGTCCAATCTATATTGCTCGTCTTCTGTACCTAATTTCGACTCCTGAAATGACATGGTGACAGATGCGTTCGCGAAAAGAGCTTTTTAATGGCTGAATTTTTAAAATTGTTAGTGGATTTACAGCTGGTAAGCCTAATTAGAATGAAAACGTGATTATTTATTATGACTAGCCCAACAGTTTTTTAAAATTCTGTCCTGGCATTCTGTATTTACTCTCTTGTACATCATGAAGCTCTTTCAATTAACACACTGTAGTGTCTTCTAAACACCGACCAAACACTGTTGGCCTGTTGCGCGCACGTTTCTCTGGGTGGCGAGATGGTTTCTAAAACCGACCGATCACTGTTGGCCTGTTGCAAGCGCGTCTCTCTGAGGGGCGGGAAATTTATCAACAGCTCTGTCAAGACGTAATTAAAAGACTTGAATAAACGTCAAATATTTTCTCACTTAACGGTATCTATTTATTTATTTATTTATTTTTTTTTATTAAAGGCTAGGAGTCAGTAAGTGTCGTACGTTCATGAGATGACTGATTTGTAAGTGACAGAGCTCTATATAAAACAGAATTAAGCTTTAAAATATAAATTAAGGACAAATAATTATAGTAAAGCGTCCAAAGATAACTCTAAAATAAATCACTGAGAGTCATGTGCAGAAGACAACATCGCAAGAGGAACAGTGAGTTAAAATGAAGAATCGAGAGGTGGATCATCTGAAAAGTGGAAAAGAAATGAATTGCACCGAAAACAGTCAGAGCAAAACACAAGTTACAAGCTGTAAGTTTTTGTTATATATATCATTATTTTGTATATGTTGGTTTCTTGATTCCAATTAAGCTAAAGGCATTAGAATGATGGCAGCAGACGATTTCTATTCGATCAAAATTTATTTCATATCGCTTTATACCTGGTATGGCAACTTAGCTTGAGTTATCGCACTCGCTTAAAAAAAAGTCGCAACGCTTATTAAATTTTTCGATGTTACGATGTTGTGCTTATTTAAGGGGATGGTTAAAAAAAGTTTAAAGACCTTTTCGAAATCGTTACAGCTCTTTTTCCTAAGACCATAGGAACAACCAAAACTCAGTATTCTTTTTCCATGTCGGAGTTAAGCGCGACTTTAGAGCTGAAATACTTTTTCTGTCATGAGCGGCGCCCATTTGAGGGCTGAGCTTTTATCGGGTAAATACCGTATTCTTATTGATATTCTAATCTACGCCATGTTGATATGATACTGAAAAGCCGCGTTTAGTGTGTAGCTAGCTCGGATGGCTGCTAAATCCCTGGCAAAACGATTAAACATTTTTATGCTAAGTCTGGCTAGTCCTGAATAACCATGACTGAAGCGAAACGTGGGCTGAAAATATCCAAATGTACCAGTGAAATAATCCAACGGACTTCGCTTGACGAAAATAAAATATTTGAATTTTAGCCGGTGGATCAAACGTGTTGCTGGACAAAAATATTTGCTAAGCCAGAGCCTCACAGTTAGGTAAAATTTCGTTTTCGTAAAAGAACATATATATGTACACGTACGGTCACAACCGTGTTGTGCGACGCTTATGTATTCGGCGATAAAATGAATGAACAGGTAACTTCGAAATTTACCATTGTTTACAATCATGAGTCACGTAGACTTTGTGAAATGGAGCTATTACTGACTAAGCAATTATTTAACGTGTTGTCAAAGCGATATCGAGCCATCAAAGAAGAATGGTTGGACCACAACAAATTGACCAAGTCGAATTAAAATTCACCTGCCTTTTGCAGTCATTTGCATTTTGAGACTAAATTGACGGATGATAATCATCATTAAACCGCTTTTTTATTCTTCTTGGCTTGTGTTTTCGATGGCAAAACAAAAAAAAAAAATTGGCGGCGTACCAACGCAAACTCGGGCAATAAATTAAAAACTCGACCTGAAAAGCACTGGGCTTCAAATTCGTCTTTCAGTTCCGGCTTCTGTAGTGAGCTCCTTAAAAAAACCGCAAATAGTCAAAACATTAAATTTCTCATAACTTGAGCCGATCCGAAGGTTGAAATCTCGCGCTACCATCTTTTTGTTGTGTATCGGCGGAAATGCAAACCTTCTCGAGGTGTTCGCACGCGATTTTGACGGAAAACGGCGCGCGAAGTGAATTTCGTGTCACAGTGACGTCACAAATGAATGCGACGAGACTCGACAACCCACTTGTTTGAAAGATAATATGTTACTCCGAATGCAAAATGGCTTCCTAGCGGGCGAGCGATTCGTAGCTCAAAATCAAATCGTGAATTACAAACCGAGGCCGAAAACATGTCGGCCTCTCGCCGGCTGTTAGGTCTACGGAACGCATCGTTCGCCCCGCAATTGGGTATTAAAGGGCTGGTAAGTGAATTATTATTTCATGTTCTCGCAAAGTATAGGCCAAGCCTGAGAAAATGAACTTTACACGTTACTGTATACGAATTTTACTGAATTTTCACGTTAAGTCTCAAATTCATGGCACAGAAATGTGAATAATTTGAACGTTTGGGATAAAGCTTGAAATCAGAAGTGAATTGTTACTCATCCCGACTATCGGGCTAATTTTTAAGATGCAGATTGAGCGATAAACAGAGCAGCATTATAAAAAAACTTCTTTCTCGGCATTTCATTAGTCTCTTGACAGAGATATATTTGCTTTGTAAGGAATTTTTATGATCTCTTTACATTCCTGGGGTACCACGCAGTGCGCGCATTTTACCGCATTTCCATTTTGAAACTTCGTTGTTTTGACTTGAAAGGCTTTCCTCCTGTATTTTGCTAAACAAAGCCCCTTTGTCGATCCCTGAAGCAATATATCTTAAGGAAATTTTCGTTTAAAGGCGCTGAACGTTATTTTCTTAGCTGGATTTTATTATTACATTTCTTGTTTGAAAAGTAAGCTATGAATATTTTAAGACATCGTTTAATAAACTCGGTGCTTGTTGAAGCGGTAGGGGCGGAAAGTTTATGTACTCGCAACCTTACATTAATACTAAAATATAAACTATTTTCTTTGCCAGGGAGTGCATACATGAAATATTTACCCAACTTCGGAATAAGAATCACTCTTTTTTTCCGAAGGAAAGTTGTTAGATTTCCTGGTGTTATTTCATGACTCAAAGTAAATAAATAATTATCTACCAGGTCGCAAGAGATATTCTCTTTGAATTACCTAGTTTGAATACAAGGTTTTCTTTCTGGTTTTGTGTTGTCTAGGATGATAAGATATTCTTATACTACTGATTTTATCAAGCGCAAATTTTTTATTTTCGGTAACCGCCAGGGTGTATTTGAAACTATCAGAGTAGAATTTCTATTAAAACAATATGGATTATTGAGCGCGTTCAATCTCCGATCTTCCTGTAATATATCCCGCAATTGATCAGTTTTAGCTGATTTGGCGTTTAGAGTTTCATTGTAAATGTTGGTGCATCGCAAGCAATGGAAAAAAACCTGTGGCGCATGTCTTGGCGGGAATTATTTTGATTTTAGGAGGTTATTTCGCTGAACGCGTTCTGTGTGTCGTGTGTTGACGAATTGGTCTAGTTTATTCTGATGTCGGGCCATAAAGAAGCCATTTCAAAGACGCAGGTGAACACACTTGATGTTTTTAAAATGTCAGCTGCATTTATCATCATAAGGAATTTGCATTTTCCTCAGCTACAGAAGCGACTAGTGAACAGAAACAAGGATGAACATTGATATGGACGTGTTTGAGATATTATTTTGCCAAAACTCGTATTTGTGGTTGTGAAAAAGATACTTTCTCATCTCAAGTTCTTGGAAAACGGCGCCACTAATTTCATAAGCGCCTTTTAAACTTATTTAAATTTCCTCGTTATTTTTCAGAAGCAATTATATATATTTTTAAATTTTTCGAAGTTTTAGGGACTGTCTGACTTCCAAAACAGAGTCGACGAAGTTTCGAGATCGAAAAATGCTAATGTTTGTTTTCTTCTTTGACGAAAAAGCGTAAAAACTCAGGTTGCTTCTAAAAATAAGAATCAAATTGTCTTTTAATGAGTTAAATACAGGAAGTCAAAGGCCTTAAAAGATATTTGGTTACAAAAAGCCGGACCCGGCATGATAAAACTCAAGCAATTTTTAGGCGAAAACAAATTAGAATTAACATAAAGAATGATCGCAACAACGCAGTTTTTCAAGTTTATGGGTCGTTTAACATCCTGACAAGTTCCGTAGCCACTCTGTTTTTTTTTTTTTTTTTNTTTCCCTGTTTCCGTGGGTAGATGTGAAAACACTTGCATACCAGAATATAATTTTTCACTGAGCTCTAAATGAAACATTTCCGGCCGTCAAAGGCATGATTTATTGTTCGTAAAGAATATTCACACTTCGCTGAATACGCCCTTTTGTAAATAAATTAGTAAGGGAACAAGAGTATGGAAAGTTGGTCGAATACAAGAGCGAAATACGAATGAAGGAAGGAAGGAAGATTCAGTATATGTTGGTGTACATACCGAGGTAAAGAATTTGGTCGCAAGAACATGCCTTATAGAACATTTACATCTAAAGGATAAAATAACAAACAACTTGGTTATAGTCGCGCGATTTGTCCAATCTATATTGCTCGTCTTCTGTACCTAATTTCGACTCCTGAAATGACATGGTGACAGATGCGTTCGCGAAAAGAGCTTTTTAATGGCTGAATTTTTAAAATTGTTAGTGGATTTACAGCTGGTAAGCCTAATTAGAATGAAAACGTGATTATTTATTATGACTAGCCCAACAGTTTTTTAAAATTCTGTCCTGGCATTCTGTATTTACTCTCTTGTACATCATGAAGCTCTTTCAATTAACACACTGTAGTGTCTTCTAAACACCGACCAAACACTGTTGGCCTGTTGCGCGCACGTTTCTCTGGGTGGCGAGATGGTTTCTAAAACCGACCGATCACTGTTGGCCTGTTGCAAGCGCGTCTCTCTGAGGGGCGGGAAATTTATCAACAGCTCTGTCAAGACGTAATTAAAAGACTTGAATAAACGTCAAATATTTTCTCACTTAACGGTATCTATTTATTTATTTATTTATTTTTTTTTATTAAAGGCTAGGAGTCAGTAAGTGTCGTACGTTCATGAGATGACTGATTTGTAAGTGACAGAGCTCTATATAAAACAGAATTAAGCTTTAAAATATAAATTAAGGACAAATAATTATAGTAAAGCGTCCAAAGATAACTCTAAAATAAATCACTGAGAGTCATGTGCAGAAGACAACATCGCAAGAGGAACAGTGAGTTAAAATGAAGAATCGAGAGGTGGATCATCTGAAAAGTGGAAAAGAAATGAATTGCACCGAAAACAGTCAGAGCAAAACACAAGTTACAAGCTGTAAGTTTTTGTTATATATATCATTATTTTGTATATGTTGGTTTCTTGATTCCAATTAAGCTAAAGGCATTAGAATGATGGCAGCAGACGATTTCTATTCGATCAAAATTTATTTCATATCGCTTTATACCTGGTATGGCAACTTAGCTTGAGTTATCGCACTCGCTTAAAAAAAAGTCGCAACGCTTATTAAATTTTTCGATGTTACGATGTTGTGCTTATTTAAGGGGATGGTTAAAAAAAGTTTAAAGACCTTTTCGAAATCGTTACAGCTCTTTTTCCTAAGACCATAGGAACAACCAAAACTCAGTATTCTTTTTCCATGTCGGAGTTAAGCGCGACTTTAGAGCTGAAATACTTTTTCTGTCATGAGCGGCGCCCATTTGAGGGCTGAGCTTTTATCGGGTAAATACCGTATTCTTATTGATATTCTAATCTACGCCATGTTGATATGATACTGAAAAGCCGCGTTTAGTGTGTAGCTAGCTCGGATGGCTGCTAAATCCCTGGCAAAACGATTAAACATTTTTATGCTAAGTCTGGCTAGTCCTGAATAACCATGACTGAAGCGAAACGTGGGCTGAAAATATCCAAATGTACCAGTGAAATAATCCAACGGACTTCGCTTGACGAAAATAAAATATTTGAATTTTAGCCGGTGGATCAAACGTGTTGCTGGACAAAAATATTTGCTAAGCCAGAGCCTCACAGTTAGGTAAAATTTCGTTTTCGTAAAAGAACATATATATGTACACGTACGGTCACAACCGTGTTGTGCGACGCTTATGTATTCGGCGATAAAATGAATGAACAGGTAACTTCGAAATTTACCATTGTTTACAATCATGAGTCACGTAGACTTTGTGAAATGGAGCTATTACTGACTAAGCAATTATTTAACGTGTTGTCAAAGCGATATCGAGCCATCAAAGAAGAATGGTTGGACCACAACAAATTGACCAAGTCGAATTAAAATTCACCTGCCTTTTGCAGTCATTTGCATTTTGAGACTAAATTGACGGATGATAATCATCATTAAACCGCTTTTTTATTCTTCTTGGCTTGTGTTTTCGATGGCAAAACAAAAAAAAAAAATTGGCGGCGTACCAACGCAAACTCGGGCAATAAATTAAAAACTCGACCTGAAAAGCACTGGGCTTCAAATTCGTCTTTCAGTTCCGGCTTCTGTAGTGAGCTCCTTAAAAAAACCGCAAATAGTCAAAACATTAAATTTCTCATAACTTGAGCCGATCCGAAGGTTGAAATCTCGCGCTACCATCTTTTTGTTGTGTATCGGCGGAAATGCAAACCTTCTCGAGGTGTTCGCACGCGATTTTGACGGAAAACGGCGCGCGAAGTGAATTTCGTGTCACAGTGACGTCACAAATGAATGCGACGAGACTCGACAACCCACTTGTTTGAAAGATAATATGTTACTCCGAATGCAAAATGGCTTCCTAGCGGGCGAGCGATTCGTAGCTCAAAATCAAATCGTGAATTACAAACCGAGGCCGAAAACATGTCGGCCTCTCGCCGGCTGTTAGGTCTACGGAACGCATCGTTCGCCCCGCAATTGGGTATTAAAGGGCTGGTAAGTGAATTATTATTTCATGTTCTCGCAAAGTATAGGCCAAGCCTGAGAAAATGAACTTTACACGTTACTGTATACGAATTTTACTGAATTTTCACGTTAAGTCTCAAATTCATGGCACAGAAATGTGAATAATTTGAACGTTTGGGATAAAGCTTGAAATCAGAAGTGAATTGTTACTCATCCCGACTATCGGGCTAATTTTTAAGATGCAGATTGAGCGATAAACAGAGCAGCATTATAAAAAAACTTCTTTCTCGGCATTTCATTAGTCTCTTGACAGAGATATATTTGCTTTGTAAGGAATTTTTATGATCTCTTTACATTCCTGGGGTACCACGCAGTGCGCGCATTTTACCGCATTTCCATTTTGAAACTTCGTTGTTTTGACTTGAAAGGCTTTCCTCCTGTATTTTGCTAAACAAAGCCCCTTTGTCGATCCCTGAAGCAATATATCTTAAGGAAATTTTCGTTTAAAGGCGCTGAACGTTATTTTCTTAGCTGGATTTTAATATTACATTTCTTGTTTGAAAAGTAAGCTATGAATATTTTAAGACATCGTTTAATAAACTCGGTGCTTGTTGAAGCGGTAGGGGCGGAAAGTTTATGTACTCGCAACCTTACATTAATACTAAAATATAAACTATTTTCTTTGCCAGGGAGTGCATACATGAAATATTTACCCAACTTCGGAATAAGAATCACTCTTTTTTTCCGAAGGAAAGTTGTTAGATTTCCTGGTGTTATTTCATGACTCAAAGTAAATAAATAATTATCTACCAGGTCGCAAGAGATATTCTCTTTGAATTACCTAGTTTGAATACAAGGTTTTCTTTCTGGTTTTGTGTTGTCTAGGATGATAAGATATTCTTATACTACTGATTTTATCAAGCGCAAATTTTTTATTTTCGGTAACCGCCAGGGTGTATTTGAAACTATCAGAGTAGAATTTCTATTAAAACAATATGGATTATTGAGCGCGTTCAATCTCCGATCTTCCTGTAATATATCCCGCAATTGATCAGTTTTAGCTGATTTGGCGTTTAGAGTTTCATTGTAAATGTTGGTGCATCGCAAGCAATGGAAAAAAACCTGTGGCGCATGTCTTGGCGGGAATTATTTTGATTTTAGGAGGTTATTTCGCTGAACGCGTTCTGTGTGTCGTGTGTTGACGAATTGGTCTAGTTTATTCTGATGTCGGGCCATAAAGAAGCCATTTCAAAGACGCAGGTGAACACACTTGATGTTTTTAAAATGTCAGCTGCATTTATCATCATAAGGAATTTGCATTTTCCTCAGCTACAGAAGCGACTAGTGAACAGAAACAAGGATGAACATTGATATGGACGTGTTTGAGATATTATTTTGCCAAAACTCGTATTTGTGGTTGTGAAAAAGATACTTTCTCATCTCAAGTTCTTGGAAAACGGCGCCACTAATTTCATAAGCGCCTTTTAAACTTATTTAAATTTCCTCGTTATTTTTCAGAAGCAATTATATATATTTTTAAATTTTTCGAAGTTTTAGGGACTGTCTGACTTCCAAAACAGAGTCGACGAAGTTTCGAGATCGAAAAATGCTAATGTTTGTTTTCTTCTTTGACGAAAAAGCGTAAAAACTCAGGTTGCTTCTAAAAATAAGAATCAAATTGTCTTTTAATGAGTTAAATACAGGAAGTCAAAGGCCTTAAAAGATATTTGGTTACAAAAAGCCGGACCCGGCATGGTAAAACTCAAGCAATTTTTAGGCGAAAACAAATTAGAATTAACATAAAGAATGATCGCAACAACGCAGTTTTTCAAGTTTATGGGTCGTTTAACATCCTGACAAGTTCCGTAGCCACTCTGTTTTTTTTTTTTTTTTTCACAGAAGCAACTCGACTTCGCTTTTGCTTCAGAATAAGTGAAAGCACAAAACACTCAATTTAATGTCAAGTAAAAATAGTTTTATTTGTAAAAGCCTTAAATGCACTCCTATAGTCACGGAACCTAAATTAAATTCGCGTCATTCATTTTACGGTCGAGGCCCCAATGTGAAGCCATTTAGTATTTAAAAGTTGTTGTAATTTCGTGCTTTTGCAAAATCTTAAAACTTTCGTCGGTCAATTTGAAAATCGACGTTTTGTGTGAAAGGGTTCACAGTTCAGCTTTTTGTTGATGAACTTCGTAAGCGTACGTGCAGGCAAATTCCCCTAGATATAATAATTGCACGCCTTTCGGTTCAGATAACTCGAGAACAATTAAAAGCTCAAGGGATGTACAGGAAGACAGTATGCAATCTACATTGTTTTGTCCGGATGATATGATATCTAGCATGTTCTGGCCACGAAGCGACACAAGAAAACTATAAATATTGGGAAAGCGATTTAGAATACCAATGTGGAAAGAACTAACCGAAGAGAGGTAAATATACACCTTACTAACCAGGCGAGAGGGCCGTTGGAGAAAAATATCTTGATCCTGGGTCTTTGAGCTCTTGACTGGACGTATCCAGCAGCGAGGTCCATACGGAAAGTACCTTACCTTTTAGACCGATACCTTAGACCGATATTCGCCAGGTACGGTCTGGAACAAGCTCGGCAAAGAAAACACTTATTGCACGACTTTGTGATTGACAAAGACCTGCAGAAACTTACCTTTTCGAATACTTGGCTGGATATTGGACCTGAAGTATAGCTTTCTGATTGGCTTATTCTAGTTATTGGTGCTCTCGGGAGTCTTAGTCGTGTTTAAGATATTTACGGTTGGTAACATTATAATGATATTGAATTCTAGAATGTCAGTTACATGTGTTAAAATCCAGGGATGAACACTCTGGAGATAGGTTGTAGTAACCTTTTCATTCATTTTCTTTTTGTTCCTTTATAGGTTTTTTTTTTCAATACTATTATTAATTACAATGACAAATATACTTATAGTATTGGCACTACATAAAACAACAACATTACTTACAATACTACTTACAGTGCCAACTTTATTTTCAAGTTCACGATACCATGTGTTATTTGGCACACCGTACCATGCCTTATTAGTGTTGTAACACTAATTCTACTTCTTGTTCTACTTACAATTCTAACATAACCTACAATAGTAACATTGATTTTTGTTCTTTTCATAGGTGATGTCCCTCAGCTCAAGCTCAAATCCTCGGCCCAATGCGCCGCTGCATGCCTGTACTATCCGACATGACTCTCTCTTCAAAGCCGTGTGGGACTGGATCGTGCTTGTGTTGGTCATATTCACAGCCATCGAGATTCCTTTCTCAGTGGCGTTTTTAATGCCGCTGCAGGACGAGCACGAGGGCTCAATTGGGTGGAATTTCATTAAAGTTACTCCGCTACTTGTCTTCAATCTCTGGGTAGACCTCATGTTTATTGTGGACATTATAATAAATTTTAGGACGACTTTTATCAAGCCGAACACCGATGAGGTGATAAGTAGCCCTAAGCAAATTGCGCTGCATTATTTGAAGACGTGGTTTGTGGTGGACTTCGTTGCAGCCATACCTTTTGAGTCTATGATCACACCGCGGGTTGACTCGGTAAGTTGTTCAAATGAAGATCTCTCAGTGAAGTACAAATAACGCTGGAAACGAGTAAAAAATATCCAGTGATATTTATACATTTGACAACTTAAGTTTAACACTTTGTATTTTAGAATGATAAACCCCACTACTGACTCGTAAGTCGGTAAATCTTCGTTGATATACCGGACGGGTTCCGATAATTATTGTCCACTCACATCACAGCCCGAACACTAGAACGTTGCTACGTCGGCCTGTTACCATTGTACACACTTCAGATTAGAAAAAAAAATCACGTCCTGCTTTTTTTTGTCGCGTCTCTGATGGGTATTAGTGAAAACGCCGTAAATTGCAAACATTACCTTCGGCACAATGGCTCGAAAACCCTCGAGTAGTTTTAACATAAAGACCCGTAAGTAATTCCGAGGAACTGGACTGGAAAGCCTTTTTGGCTCTGCAATCTAGACTCCCTGAATTACTCTGTTCATTTCGATGGGTAACTGGAATTTTATTGCCGAGGGAAAAAGTTTGGGGTAACAAGGAAAAATGAGAGAAACAGTTGCAAGGAATCTTATGGCATGGGACATAGTTTCTCTCAAATCGTCGGATCTATGACATTGTAATGTGGAAAAGATATTGGGTTATTGCAGTAACGTAGCAAAATATAATTTTGACAAACTTTGGTCTGGAGTTTCTAAAACAAACTGTAGTTGATATGCTTCCCCACACAAACTTGTTCTATTCTACTTGTTCTTTTCTGAACTACTGATTTGGAGTTCCTGTCCAGTTAACGACAAAATCTTCCCTTTGATATAAGAAATTGAAAGTATCACGTGGGTTGAATAAAAGCAGACATTTTTGATAGATTTTTCATTTCTTTTGTAAGTGTTTAATAGAAGAAATCTATTTTGTTTTGAACTAGGCGACAACCTTGTTTGGACTTCTGAAGAGCGCGCGGCTGCTGCGCCTGGTGCGAGTGGCGCGAAAATTGGACCGCTACTCAGAGTACGGGACAGCGGTGGTCATCTTACTGACAGGTCTTTTCACTCTAATCGCTCATTGGCTGGCGTGTATCTGGCACGGGATTGGTAATTCAGAGAATAGAAATGAGTTTGGCTGGATACAAGAGCTGAAGAAAAACTTGAACCTTAATAACAACTCTACAGGTCCAGACATTCAAACTCGATACATTACGGCTCTCTACTTCACTTTGAGTAGTCTCACGAGCGTTGGATTTGGAAATGTCTCCCCAAACACTGACGCAGAGAAAATCTTTTCAGTTTGTGTCATGATAATTGGAGGTAAGTCTCTTTTTCATGTTCGTGTAATAGTTTGCCATGGAACTTGTCGTAGAACGAACGGCCTCGTGTTGAAAAGCCCTCGTGTTGAAAAGCAGATTATTATAGTCAACTACCTGTCTTTATGGGAACTCTTATGTTTTATGAATTTATAAAAACCTGTTGACTATAGTGACACAAACAAGTCACTCTGTTCGTTCACCTTGAAATTAAAAAAATCTCTTCCGTTACCGAGGTGATTTATTGTGTTATTGCATTATGTTCGTGAGCGGTAAACGGAACCGGTACTCGACTAAAACACTTCAAAATCTGTAAAACGGTAAACTCTAAACGGCGCAAAACTCTCTAAAAGGCACAACAACTGCGCACTGGAAACTGTCTAAAACTCTGCCGATAAACGTCCACGCAACTTAAATTCGTAAGCGCAACTAACGTACGCGTAACTTAAATTCAAAATGTTTCGTACGCGTAACTTAAGGAACTTAAGGTGTCTCCATAGCGTAATTAAATATGGTGTTGCGCGCGCAAGTGTTATGTTTTGAATGCTGTTTTTGTATTCGCTTTCACACCCAGTCTTTTCAAACTTATTACATGCAATAGCGTTTTGCTATCATCTCTGTTAAGATTTTGGGCTTTAGTCCAAACAAATGTGTTTTTTACCGTTTGTTTGAGCCACCTTAAATTCAAAGTGTTTCCGTGCGCGCGCGCGCTATTCGCGTGTCACGCCACTTCGGAACTGTCTTCTTAACACATTATGTTATTGGGTAACATACATTAGAGCGGTTTTCAACTGAGTGTCGTATTAAACCAAACCAAAGCTATCACTCTTAGCCAATCACAAAGGACATGGACAATCCAACGAACTAGTCAACGAGTACGAGCCACTCACGATTGGTTTTGATTTAACTTCTCATTGGCATGAAAAAGTGGCCTGAGTGTATTAAACAAACGTGTAGAGATGCAACACCAAAGGAAATTAATGCGAATCACTCTTTACATCCTATTTATAATCCTTATGCTGCTAGACTGAGGAAAATTCATCTTTTTTCCGTAGCTCTGATGTACGCCTCCATATTTGGAAATTTGACTGCTATCATTCAAAGGCTATATTCTCGTACTTCTCGATTTCACCGAGATTTGAGAGTTATCGAGGACTTTGTTAAATTTTACAAAATACCGAAGTCCACTAAAGAGGAGCTGGACGAGTACTTCAGACACGAATGGGCTTATACGAAGGGCGTTGACATGGAAACGGTATGTGTGCACCAGTGGCGAGCGAATTGACATACTTTCGTAGGCTAGGAACTTCGCTTTTTGAGAAATAGGAATTAATAGTTAATATATGGCTAACCTCGTGCATTATAATGAACTGTACCGCATGAAAGTGCCGCTCAATAACTTTCATTTGAATGGTCACACACAAGGGTTTTTGCAAATCATAACAAACGGTACCACATGAAAGTACTACTCAATAGCTTTCGTTTAAATGGTCACGTATTATGGTTTCATTCATATACATTTTTAAGTTTCAAGGCACATATATTGACTAGAGTTAGACTCTGGAACAGATTGAAATATTGTATTCTTTATACCAGGATAAAAGAATGCATTACAGTTACAATTCTGGTAATCTAGGAAGTTGTGACAAAGTCTCGTAACGCAATTACTTGATGCTAGTTACGCCGTTGGGGGAATACTATTTATTGCCGGGTGAACTCTCATATAAAAGTGACGGGGGTGCTCGTCGGGGTTAACATTCGTGTTGTGCTACCCCTTGGGGTGTTAAAATAGAAAATGACCTCCGCGAGAGTTATCGCGCGCGGTACCTCTTAGGATATTGAGCCAAAAATGAAACAGGAATTATTTGTCAGTCAACTGAATTTTATCTGTCTCATTCATAACGACTCATCTTCTAAAATGTTCCATTAGAAATTAGCCACTTAAATAGGATATAGATTTATGACAACGTTTTCAAAAATCTTTACAGGTAGAAGGTAGTCAATGTATCGTCTTTATTGCTATTTTAAAAAATATTGTCATAGTGTCAGTTAATGTGTTGTTTCAGGATCTATACCTCTAAGGGGTAATGTTGAATTGGCACCACGCCCACAAAACGAGATTTTGCTACCATTTAGGGTTTTTTTTGGAAACTTCCGACGAACACCCAATCATATTATATGGAAGTGTCCTCCGCCCCTGGGCAGTGATTTTGCAAAGTGAATACTGTTCTAGAGAACACGCTGATATCACCAGGAGTGTCTTGTTACAAATCACGTCGCTCCTGGGGCCAGAACCGTTTTGTTTACCATGCCATTAATGATTGGAACACTTTACCAGATTTAACAGTTCAAACATTCTAATTTTTAGAGGACTCCTTAAGAGTATCGCTTAATTTTATCTTATAATTTATACATTTTAAACTTTAACTTTGTAAATGTAGAATAGCTAACGTTTTTGAGCTTGTAAATTTAGCTTTTTAAGGAATGCAGGGCCACCCTGAAAACCACGTATGTGACGTGGGCTCCATGTTAAAATATCTTTATTATTGACAGCTCATTTCTTGTCTTTAGGTCCTCAAACGTTTTCCCGAGTCTCTTCAAGCTGATGTCTGCCTTTATTTGCACAAAAATTTATTCACAGAGTGCTTAGCGTTTAAAACTGCTAGCGAGGGCTGTTTACGAGCACTTGCGTTGCGGTTTAAGATTCGACATTATCTTCCGGGTCACTTCATCATTAAACAGGGAGACGAGGTCAAACGTCTTTACTTCATAGCGAAAGGAAATATCGAAGTTGTCAAATTTGACGAGACCATGCTAACATTAGGTTGGTGTTCAAAGTTTTCTTTGATTTTATTCCTCGGCACCTTGCTTGGACCAGAGCTTACTTTTCCCTCCTCCTGAGCTTATTCTGGTTTCTGTAGCGTGACGTGACTATAACAGTGAGCATGACGTGACTATAACAATGAGCATGACGTGACTGTAACAGTGAGCATGACGTGACTATAACACTGAGCATGACGTGACTATAACTGTGTTGTTAGTCAAGTCTCGCTCTCTTCCTCTCTGTATCCGAGTGTGAAGGGAAAACACAAGAACAACAACAACAAATGCAGAAAAACTACAAGGGAAGGAAATACCCGAGAAAACGTCGCAATTTGCACGTGTGCAAATATATTTGTGACAATTAAGACAAACAAGTTAGATTCCGGTTTATTTAAACTGATCAAAAGTGGAATTAAACCATTGGTTACTAGGTTTTGTTCTGTTTCCCACGTTTGACACGAGTTACATGTTTTCCCGCGCTAGCCACCAGGTATATATTTTCCCGCGGTTTTATAGTACCGACTACAATTTTTTCCCGCGCTTCGCATCAGGCCTTTATTTTCCCGTGATTTAGTACGGCTGCATATTTTCCCGCGCTTGGCGCCAGTTGTAGGCTTTTAGGACGTTTATTAAGACCATCTGCACTTAGTTTGGTTGACACTAATTGGTTTAATGTGTTATTCGCGTTTGTCAGCGACGGTAATTTGTAGATCATGCTTTCTTATTGTCAATATTTACGATGCATCAATCAGTGCTTCTTTGCACTCAGTCAAAACATTCTTCTACTTGATTGACAGGTAAGGGTGATGTCATCAGTTGCGATTACAGCACAGTACAGAGTATGTACATTCCTAAAGCTAACGCCAGTCTCCGCGTTCAAACTCATGTTGAGATCCATTCAGTGGCCTGGAGCGAGTTAGTTGCGGTACTGAAGGCTTACTCCTCCTTTCGTGAGGAGTTCATCACTCATTTGGAGCTGGCATATAATCTGGGACACGAAGTGGAGGTACGGAAACATAACGCCAACTGCTACTCGTACCACGTGGTTTCATACTAATCAACAAATGCTACCATAAGTGTTTTGAAGGAAGTCTCTTACTCTTTTATAGTCAAACCAAGTGAGGTGTACCCCTCAAGATTTTTTCTTCTTTTTTAAGGTAGATTGTTTCCAAGGTCTACCATGCAAACAACCGCTACTGTGTGGCTACTTTGTTTGCTAGTGTCTATAAATTTAACCTGTATTTTGTTTCTTCTGGAAGTAAATAAATTAAGTTGCTCTGTATTTTCTGCACAGGAAGACGAAATTGTCTTATTTCCAGAAGAAATTCACCCGGGATCTCGAAAATTATCTAACGCCCGATCAACATTCTCTTCACGTCAAGGAGTCGACAAACTCGAACGGTCAGGTTCACCAACATTTATTATTAATGGGCGACTACCACAGGATCAGAACGCTGCCTCTGCCATTGATTTACA